TAATCGTGCGTTAGGGTCAAATGCATAGGAGCATAGCTTTGGTAAGCTCTCGCAAAAGTAACAAATCTGGCTCAGGCAAAGTGTGTTTACGAATAATTATGAAGAAGTGTTGTAGTGCCAGATGGCGTAGCGATTGAAATCGCGTGAGGTATACCTTAGGCCCCGGTCAGACTTCAAGCGACTTAATCGTCGCGACCAAATCGCCAAGATTTCCATTCATTTTCATTTCACATTCAAAAATTTCGGTCTGGAAAAGTATCACAACCGAATGCAAGTTGATCTGCATGGAATGATGTTGTAACAGTTGTCTCCTCGCGATTCAGTCGCGACGATCAAATCGCGTGAAGTCTGCCCGGGGCCTTAGGCCTAATATGAGCTCTGAACTTGTTAATGCGTTTTAGCTCTTTTTTTGAGAATCCCTGAGAACTTTGTCTCGGGCGATTGTACAACGGCGAAAAGGCTTCGGCAGGCGAGGCCTTCAAGATTGGCATCCACGGCACAGCAAATAGCAGAGAGGGCATTTCGGAAGGGCGGCAGCTGTTGAAGCATGTCCATTCTTAGCAAACGGGGCCCTTGTTCACCTAAAATAATCCTCGGCAATCGAGACCATTGCTTTTGAACGGCTCTTATGACTATAAATCTTTGATCAACGATCGATTTGCAGCTTCCAGTTAGGCAGGCGAGGCCTTCAAGGTTAGCTATCTTGATTTCATTTACGTCCCGCGGCTGATGGTCGATACGTCGTCATTGAGGTCGTGTCGCATCTTTCAAATCTTCCAGCTTGACATTAAGTTAGCGACGGTGGAAGTTCAGCTTGTTCAGCTTCACAATTACGGCGGATTGGTCGGTTCCTTGGCCGGAAGTTGCTGGCTCAGTTTCTTTTTCCACAATGTAGCACACGTCGTTACGGCCGGAACTCCAGGCGGATCATTGCTATGAGAAGGGTGCCTGATACGTTGCTACGTTGCGGCATGTTCGACGTGTTTCTTTTTCCGGATAGGATTTAGCTTGGATAGCGCCGTTGCAGATCCAATGAGGGCAGCATCTTGACAGACTGATAAGTTCTAAAGCTTCTAGATATCGACCTCGGTGTCCACCCACTTAATACTTGGGCACGAAAATGGCGAACTGCACGGAAATGGCAAATAAGAGGTAGGCATTTCTGCGACTAACCTTTCATTTCGTCTGCTTCGACGAAATGGGTAACTCGCAGACATCGACCAATATCTTGCTGAGTCGAGCAGCGTACAATCCGACATCATCTGAGGGTACCCACGGTGTGGAGGCAGTTCCAACGCTATCGAAACAGAGTCGCCCTCTCACCAAAAGCGACAGCACTTTCATTAGCTTTTCAAATGAAACCTCTTGCGGTGGTTGTGCCAGATGCGCTCTCAGCTTGGTGTGTGCGGTGTTAACCAGTTTCGCAAACAAAACGGTGGTGCAGGTCTCGGCATCGATGCTGGAACTATTTTGTCAAATCGCGGCATCCAGCTCAAGAAAGTGCGCCCGTTGTCATCATAGCTGAAGCCCCGGCAGTCGCGACGAAAGTGTTGAGTAGTCCGTCGTAGGAGGTACTGAAGGTCCATCCGTTTTAGAAGTTGTTCTATCCACTCGGATTGCTCTTCGTTGGCAAGAAGTGCAGCGGACTGCTTCTGGTTCGCATGAATAAGTGCAGAGATAGGCTGCATAAGCTGAGCGAGCACTTGCTCCAAGGGTGCCCTGGGATGCCCTTGTTTGGCTTGTTTGAATTAACAGTCTTATTTGATCCCTGCATGTCATCCAGTACTGATCGCCACTTGTTGTAACCTTCGCTTCTACTTTTACCTGTACATGTACCGCGTGATGACTGCGGACACTTTAAAGGCACCGTCCACCCAGATTTTCGATTTCCACGTTTTTATCTTTCAGGGCCTTCTCATGTCCCTGATTCCGAATATGAAATTGAGAATGCGCGAAAACCCCGACAATCCCCGTTCCGGAAAACCCACAGTCCTGTTTTTCGGAACGGTGATTGAACGGGCGCGCACAAATGGGCGGCATGGATGGGGGTCCTCGTGCATCTTCGCTATTGCAAAGCGATTTTCTCGCTTCCCAAGCGGCATTTTGCGCCGCGACTTGGGCATTGGATTGATAGGGGCCCTACTATTATATGCTGTCAAAAGCTCAACACCCTCAGCTTAGGGTGGACGGTGCCTTTGAGAAGTAGCTTTACTATTTGCTGGAAACGAATAAGAACTGACAACTACAGACGAGTATAATCTAAGAAGGAGCGTCTTACATAGCTCTCGTCTCCCGCGCATGTGACAATATAACATCAACAGATTTTTAGAGATCACAAGTCAATACCAACACAGCCAATTGGAGACAATTAGTTACTCCCAACACTACTGCTCGATATTGTCGGCCCTGTAAGAAAATAATCAATGGAAAAGAGCGAGAAATTGCAAAATATATGCCTGATTCATTCTATGATTCGGCAATCCTTCAACTCTTCGTATGGCAGTCAGCTAAGCCAATTGGAGAATATAGCAAGAGAAAATCAGCCTTGAAACATTATCCTCTTTGACCTTTTTTCTCTATCACAAAAGGACATTCTTGCATCAAATTCATATATCAGGATCATGACAGTAAGTTAGCTAAGAGAAAAACACATTTTCCCTTTGAAAATTGTCTTCTCCGGTGGACGTACTAGAGAGAAATCAAGCGACCAAAAAGTTTGCTGTTGTGCACACTCGGCCCCACAAGTGCGATAAGGTGAGAATGACTCTTCCAGGGTGAAGGGGGTCACAGTGGTCGCAGCCCCTCCAGGGTGAAGGGTGTTTTACTTGGTAGAGAAATCATAAAATGTCGACGGGGGGGGGGGAGGGGGGAGCCATCATTTTTCCTAGTCAAAGCTCATAATTTCCAATTCCTTACCAGTGTTTGTCTTTATTCTGAAATGTGAAGTGATACGCTGCTGGATTAGCACGCAATTATATTTCTGACCAGCACCTTGTATTTTTTTACATTTTCCTTTCCCTTTTTTACATCGGCCTGCCTGTTTTTGGAATTACCATAGAGTGTGCATGCGAGAACATTTTCGGAAAGAGTTAGACAATTTTTAAGCATTTACGAATTTTTTTAAAGAAGAAATTCGTAATTTCTGTAGATGAACAGCAACGTCAGCAAGGTGAATGTTTTTAAAACCACCTTGTCTTCCGCTTTTAGAGAATATATAATTTGCCTGGAGTCTGTTGAAAAAGTGCCTGGTGTAGAGTGTGGGTAGTGATTTCTGGATATTTTCGAGTCTTTTAGGATGGAAAAATCCGTAACTTCTAAAGATGAACATAATTTACGCCGGTATGGCTACCATTGAAACTGCCTCGTTTTCTGCTTTCAGAAAATATATACAATTCCTGGTGTCCATTAAAAAAATTGCCTGGGTGAAGGGTGTCTTAGTGATTTCTGGAGATTTTCGAGTTTTTAACATAGAAGAATTCATAACTTTTTTAGATGAACATCTTGTACGCCGGGATGGCCACCGCTGGAACCGTCTCGTCCTCCGCTTTCAGAAAGTATAGAGCATGTCTGAGATTCATTCAAAAAAGTGCCTGGGTGAAGGGTGTGCTCGGTGATTTTTAAAAATATTCGATTTTTTATCATAAAAAATTCATAACTTTTGTAGATGAACATCTTGTACGACGGGATAGTCACCATTGGAACCGCCTTGTCCTCCTCTTTCAGAAAATATATACTTTGCCTGGAATCCGTTAAAAAAGTGCCGGGTAAAGGGTGGGTGAGACTTTTATAATGGGAATGCTCAAGTACAGGCTTTTTTACCATTGTAAAAAGACGTCTACTTGAGCACTCCCATTATAAAGTCTCACCCACCCTTCACCCGGCACTTTTTCTGACGGACCCCAAGCAAAGTATATATTTTCTGAAAGCGGAGGACAAGACGGTTCCAATGGTGACCATTCGGGCGTACAAGATGTTCATATTTAGAAGTTATGAATTTTTTTATGATAAAAAATTGAATGTCTTCAAAAAACACCAAGCACACCTTTCACCCAGGCACTTTTTTGAGTGGATCTCAGACATGTTATATATTTTTTGAAAGCGGAGAACGAGGCGGTTCCGATGGTTACTACCTTGCACCAGCTGTTCATTTGCAGTAGTCAGGGATTTTTTTATCCTGAAAACTCAAAAATTCCCAGAAATCACTAGGCACATCCTTCACCAGGCACTTTTTTGAACGGATCTTAAACATACTGTATATTTTCTGAGAGCGGAAAATGAGGCGGTTCTAATGGTGACCATCTCGCCGTAAGAGATGTTCATCTACAAAAGTTATGAATTTTTTTATGTCAAAAACTCGAAAATCTCCAGAAATCACTACTCACACCCGTCATCAGCACTTTTTTCAACAGACTCCTCCTTTCCTATACATTGACAATTCACGTACAAAATATCTCCTTTCTTAACCTTACCACACTGTTGATTTTTTTCGGCTTTTGGTGAAGGGGTCACTTTGGTCCCGGCTCAGGGGTGAAGAGGGGGTGAGAAAATTCTCACACTATCGCACCTGTGCTCGGCCCTTTTTCTGTTTTGACTTTTTCGATAGAACAACCATCAAACCCAAGCTATCATTTTTATTTCTGTTATTTCTATTATTACAGAGCATGCGCAGGTCAAATGTGGAAAAAGGATAACAAAGGAGAAGTAACAATCGTATGCGAAAAGTATTGCAGCCCTTCTTGTGGGACTGCAACAGCGCCCAAGGGCACAGCTATATTCACGGTAAATGAGACGATTAATTAGCAGAACACAATTTGTTACAACCTTCAAGTTTCAGCCTTGCAGTTGTCGTCATGGAAATTGTTCATCTGATTTTGAAGATTTCGTAGGTACGAAGAAACACTCTCTAGATCAAAGAAAAAAAGGAGGAGTTTTCTGTGCATAAAAGTTTGTTCCAGGAACCAGTACGCACACAGACTTCGTTCTTTTCGTGGCTATAAGGCATGGCGTCTGCGCAAAGGACACGTTTGCATATGCCGCCCGATGCAGTCTACATCCCGTTACCCACAGGTAAGGGTAAAAAGCTGACCATGAGAAAAGTACTGACGGGTCCCTCTGCTAAGGCCAATATCTGGATATGTAAACGTATGTCCTGATGCGTTTGATGCTATGCAAAAAAACGAAATGTCAAAATGGTTGTCCATCTTAAAGCACGAACTTATACACGCTTTCGTTTTTTCCACATCACACTACAGAAATTTTATCGGTGCAAAGCCTGAAGTGCAGTAAGATCTCAAGTTGAGCAATCAGAATCAGTAATCGAGAAGTGCTTTTGCTAAGGAAAACACCAATTCCAATTGTGCCAGGGGTGATAGAAAAGTTTACCAGAACTGACTGGGAAGTTGCTCAAGGGAATGTGAGTACTCTTATTTACTTAGACTGTATCTTTGTAAAGCTGTCATAAATTGTTCGTGAAGCAAAGTTGCATAAAATGGAATGTAACATTTACCATAATATCGAGTTATAGATCCCTCATGACGTGTACATGATTGTCACTCCGAAAGTCCGACAAGAAGCACGGAATCATTTTGCTTGTCCTACACTTGAAGGGGCTGAGGTAGAGAATCAAGGCGGTAGCGGCACGAGAGGTGCACACTGGGAGAAAAGAGTTTTTGAGGTGAATGAAAAATTCGCTATGTCCAAAAGATGTATGCACTTTAGAATGAAGCGATGTCAGGCGTCGCAACACAGGTCTATGCAGTTTCACGTTTGACTTTGGCACTTTTTGAGGATTCCGGTTGGTATCAAGTAAATTACGAGTAAGTAAGAGATATTGTTAAAATAATTAGAATATGATAGGTCAAACAACAAAATCTCAGTGACTCTTTCCTAAGTGCTTTCAAAACGACTCAAACTGCTCTGTGAAAATTTCATATAAATGCTAGTTGCTTTAAAGTCTAGTTTCTTCTCCCCCTCCCCCCCCCCCTCCGTCCCCCTTCCGTCCCGTATACCGTCGTGCGAAGCTGACGAAAAATTGGATTTAATAGGGGAAACAGACTGGCGAGATCCGATCAGAAAAGAGGATAATGATTATTCTTACCCCGCAGAGTAGAATGCAATAATCGATAAATTGTCACTACAGCACGGGAGGACTTTCCGAATTTTTCCGAAGTAGAACCAATCCTAAAAAAGTTCTCTAGCGTTTTTAACACACGTGAATTCTGAACAAGGACTGAAGAGGATGATTGTTTGCTTCACAGCAAAGCCGAAGACATGTCTTGGGGCAAAGGTCTTGGTTGTGATTTTGCGAAAAAAAGCTGTTTGACATGGATGAGAAGCCGGCAAGATCCATACCCGTTCTGTACACAAGAATTTGATGTGAGGTCGTGTTCTTTACATTTACAGCATCACGAAAGCATTCAGAGGTTTGATGTTTTAGATGTAGCGAGGATCGTAAATCTAAAGTGATCTGTAACTTGGTGTCGCCAAAATTTGCTAGAATAGCGATTGATTATAACTACAACGTTCCAAGCCTTTATACTGATATGAACGGTGGTGAAATAGTTGGACTTGGTCAAGAAGAACTTGCTGATTACTGTCCCTATTATCGAGTAAGTAGGGAACTATAAAGGAGCGTGTGATTACGATGGAAAGCAAACGAGATTTCTCCTGCGACCTGAGGACTTCATATACAAACTCTTGTTCCTCAGGTTTTCGATGAAGTACCGAAAGAAGCAACCGACGACAGTCATTGCACGTATGCGGGAAACATGTACTATAACAATTATTCACTAGAAGTGAGTTTTACCCCGCTTATTTTTCAACGATGATAACTTTTGCCTTAATGCCCTTAGCGACTTCCTAATTATTGTATTGATAAACTGGTTACGTCTTGTTAGAATCAGATCGAATTAACGGTGAATCATCGTCACTGTAGTACGACTATAGCAACGTTTAAAAGTAACTTGGGCACAGAAGACCATAATCCTTAGGCCTCGGTCATCACGCAATTTTATCGCCTCGCGATTCTTCCGATAAGACAACTGTTAGGAATCAGTCATATCTTGTCGCCTCGCGATTTCTAACTGCTACGATTGTTCAGTTTATTTCATAGGCGTACAATTTGTAAGCAAGATTTGGCATGTACGCTTAAGCTTACAAAAGCTATACCCCTAGGCACTTAAATTCCACACGTGGTAGATTTGTGGACACCTGGAAAATTGCCAAATCGCGTATTGCCGCGTTTTTAGAGAAATGACGCGAGGTGAATTCGAGGCCTTAGGCCCCGGTTAGACTTCACGCGACTTAATCGTCGCGATCTAATCGCCAAGATTTCCATTCATTTTCATTTCATATTCAAAAATTTCGGGCTGGAAAAGTATCACAACCGAATGAAAGTTGATCAGCATGGAATGATGTTGTAACAGTTGTCTCCTCGCGATTCAGTCGCGACGATCAAATCGCGTGAGGTCTGCCCGGGGCCTTACGACTTCATTGCATGCCGATTCCTCATACATTTCGTTTATGACGGTTTTTTACAGGACTAATCTGACTAACTATCACAACCGAAATGCAAGGGTGACCGACATGCAGTGGACTCGTAACAGTTGTCTTGTCAGCAGTAACGCGGTGCAATGAAATTGGTGGGCTATGCCAGAGGCCTCAAAAAGAGTTTTGATCAATCAGATACTCTCACACCATTGGCGTACCGAGGGGGTGGGGGCGCCCCCTCGAGAACAGGTCGCGAAATTCTTGAAAGTTACTTACATCTTATATACAGGGTGTCCCAAAAAGATGTGCACACTGTTTGATTTTGAATAACTCTCTTATTATGAGGACTTTCGAGAAGCGGTAAGCGCCATTTTGTAGAGCTAGCTTCAACTTAGATTTACATTATGGAGCGAATCACCGACCACTCTTCATTACTGTAGGATTACGGTAATAACTTGAAAGAGGGTTTTGGGCCCTAAAATGTCGTATTTTGCCTCAGAAAGAAATCAAAACAACCTCAAACTTTTACACTAGGCTAATTAGAGTTGCTGATTACAACTGTAAAGTTCCCAACTTGTTATGATGCTTCATTGAAGAGTTATGCCAGGTAAGAGGTAGCGGCCATTTTTCAGTGTTTCTAAAAAGTGCGGTTACACCGATTAGAAAGCTTCGCAATTTTGTGAATAGTTGAGTGTTAAACTCAGCGTCCAAAAAAACCCTGTTAGACAAGTTTTCACATTTTTTTGAAAATTTTTGAAACGGCAGCTTTTCCACATTGACACCATATGTTCCAAGTTTCTACCGTAATCCTACAGGAAGAGTGGTCGGTGATTTGCTCTATTATGTAAATCTAAGTTGAAGCTAGCTCTACAAAATGGCGCTTACCGCTTCTCGAAAGACCTCATAATAAGAGAGTTATTCAAAATCAAACAGTGTGCACATTTCTTTGGGACACCCTGTATAAAGCTGAATGTCTGTTTGTATGTCTGTATGTCTGCCTGTATGTATGTATGTATGTATGTACGTATGTTCCGAATAGAAAATTCCATTTCTGAACCGATCGGGACCAAACTTGGCACACATACACTTTGGGCCCCGGCGGGTGTCATAGGCTACTTTCGTCATCGATAGATATCGATTTTATCGATTTTTTGGAAAATTGGAGCTACAGGGCTGGAAGTTGGCACAGGGGGGTAATCGAGCATGCTGATCACCCCCACGGGGGTGATCAGCATGCTCGATTACACCCCTCTGCCAAATTCCAGCCCCTAGCTCAAATTTTGCAAAAAATCGATAAAATCGATATCGATCGATAACGAAAAGTGCACTGTGACACCCTCCGGGGCCCGAAGTGTATGTGTGCCAAGTTTGGTCCGGATCGGTTGAGAAATGAAATTTTCTATTCGGAACATATGGCGGAGCCGGGTAAGCCAGCTAGTTGTCTGCACTTGTAAATAATTGAAATAATTTTTAGAATTTCTTAAAAATTCACTTTAGCCTTATAAAAAATTTTTTTCGGGGGCGTGGCTGGGGCCACCCCCCTCCTTTTCTGAAATTTCGGAGTTCTGAACCCGCGAAAATTTTAAGAAGCATACCAAAAATTTAGAGCGCGTGGCTAACGCCACGCGCCTTCATCGAAAAAAATTTTTTGTCCCCCCCCCACCCCGTGCCGAAATCCTGGGTACGCCGCTGTCTCACACCAGGCTTTTTGCAGTCTTCAACTGGAATTAAATTGACTTCAAATAAATTACCGATGTCTAAACTGTTTTATTAAGTAAAAGTGACCACTTCGTTTGAAAGCGTTTCCCAGCGTTCAGTCTTATCATTAGAAGCAACCGGAAAATTTCTGCTCCACAAGTTTTGATAGTTTCTTGGGACGGCTGCTGCCATTCATTGGAAATGTTAAAGTTGTACCGTAATTCTGATGCTGCGGGTGTACTTGACGCGATTTCAATGAGCACGCGATCTGGCAACTTGCCAGATGTCTTCAGTTTTGGCATGCAGTCCGCAAATTTATAGCGCGTTTGACTTCCGCAAAATGATAAAATGCCCTACCTTCCGTACATTTAGCATGCGCTCACGGTAAGTTAAAAACAACTGAAATGCTTACAAATTGCGTAACGACTAAAATTTGTGAAGTATGTTTGGGCCTAACGGGAAGCGAATTGAGCTTTTACCGCAAATCTAAAATTAGAAAATTAAATTGGTAGCAGTGGCATTGAAGGATGGCCGCTTTCAACATCTGCGCGCCGGCGGTGGAGGAGGCCTCTGAAGAAGACGAATGGTTCGAAACGTTAGGCCGCCACTTACTAATAAATCTACTAACCTCGATCGGCTTACTAACTTACTCACAACATACTAACAATGCCGAGGTTAAGAAGGGAGGAAACTTGGAAACTTCAAAAATTAGAAGTTAAAACCTGTTCTTAGGAAGTCGAGACCTTGAGAGCATTGATGCGAAAGAGTTGTTCTCAGTTAAGCAGTGGAACGTTTTTCGGGGCTAGATATAGTGTTTAATAGTCGTAGCAAAATCAAATGAAACAAGTTGAGAAAAAATTGCATTTTATTCAAAGTATTGAATTCAATGTGTATCTTCGGTAGTAGTACAATTTTTACTATATACAGGGTGTCCCAAAAGTAAGTACACACTTTTCAATCGTTTATCTCTCTTCCCACTGAGTCTTTTTCCGCCGTTCAAGTACCATTTTGTAGAGGAGGCTTCAACTTATTTTCGTTACTGTAGGATTACGGTAAGAACTTCGAGCATGTGGAGCCATCGTGAAATATGCCATCCGACAAAATTTTCTCAAAAATCCGAAAAATCGTGTACTAGGGTTTTCGCGCACGCCGGTTCCGTTACACAATTTTTTATGGGTGTTTTCAGCTTTTCTGACAGTGTAATTACAGTTCCGACAAGTGCTGGTAACTCGGTTATTACGGTTTTACCTGGGATAACTTAGGAAAGAAGCATCAGAGTCAAGTGAAAGTTTCATATTCAAAAACAGCGGCTTCCACTTCCATAGTATAAGAGTTTTTGGCTTGTTTGGTTTTGTTCCGAGGCAGAATGTGGCTTGCAACGGCCTAAAATCCTTGTCGAAGTTTCTACAGTAATCCTACAACGAAGAGCGATCGGTGATTCGCTCGATATTGCAAATCTAAGTTGAAGCCTTCTCTACAGGATGACACTTAATGGCTGAAAAAGACACAATGGGAAGAAAGATATCAATGATTGAAAAGTGTGTACTTACTTTTGAGACACCCTGCATATATTTAAAATGTATATTTAGATCTTTTCTCCTTCTGCTCGCTGTTTTTCGCTTGATGGAGGGATCAAGGTCAGCAAAAAATTAAGGATAACCACTTACCATCATAAAGTTGGTTGCTATGAGGTGAGATTCATTGCTTTAAAAAACTTGATCTTTTGCGAGAAAGAAGTCGACAGTGTACATTTTTAGACTGCTTGCAAAGACGATCGTTTATACGTAAAAATACAAAGTTCTAAATTCTATTCTTGTCACTATGCTGGCCAACTTATACATGTAGAAAAGGTGAACGTTTTTAAATATATAAACTCAGTTACATCTTCCGAATTCTTGTCATTCAGCGTATCCCGAAGGTTGGTAATGTAACTACAAAAATAATTTGTCCATCTTCTAAAGACATTTGCGGTGAAAAATATGCATCTAACAAAAAACATAATGAAAAAACTGGAGACTATAGAAAGATTTCAACAGGCGTAACCATGAAATATGCATCTGACAAGGAACATAATGGAAAAATCGGAGACTTTAGAAAGATTTCAACCGGCATAACCATAAAATCATCTGACAAGGATCATAATGGAAAAGGAGGCTATAGAAAGATTTCAACAGGCATAACCATAAAATATGCATCTGACAAGGAACATAAGGGAAAAATCGGAGACTTTAGAAAGATTTCAACAGGCATAACCATAAAATATGGATTTAACAAGGAACATAATGGAAAAATTGGAGACTATAGAAAGATTTCAACACGCATGACCATAAAATATGGATTTAACAAGGAACATAATGGAAAAATCGGAGGCTATAGAAAGGTTTCAACAGGCTTAACCATCTTTTTCAGCATCATAGTGCTACTGTTATTTTTTTCATAGCGATCAAATGTTGGGAATAAAAGGCGAGGCGACAAGCTTTGTTTGTAGTTGATAGCCCAGCACTTGATCGGCATCGTAAAACTTACTACAGAGTCACAATTCTCTTTATATTTTGATGATATTTATCGGAAATAAAGTTCTTGATTATCCGCATCTTATATATAAAGCTGATTGTCTGTTTATCTGTCTGTATGTCTGTGT